CAGAGTACAAGCTTTCCACTTAAATTACCATCCCCTCCTAAATGCCAGCTCAACAGATTGCGAGAAAGAAGCACATACTTCACACTCTGCAAGAAAATTGTCCAGTATAAGTTTTCAAGCATGCTTGGGAGCCAACCAATCACAATGTTTTGTCAAATACTGCTTCAGCCTGAAATTCAAGCCAGAAGAATATTTACTAGAAAATGTTAAATTTAGTCACTTAAAAATGTTTTTGCACTTAGGGCCAAATTCAGCCTTGGCCGCCGCAGTCAATGAGAGCAGACACGCATCCTCCCCGTGCCTTTGTTGCAGGGTCCCACTGCGCAGAGCGCGCTGTGGAGTGCACTTCTCTGTTTCCTCTACGCAAAGAAGAGCATGACCCTGTCTGAGACTAATTATCACTTGTTATAGACCATGGCAAACTGCTGCACCACAGAGGGCTGAGAGACACTGCCCAAACCTGCAGAGAGATCAGAGGGACCATGACGTTAGACTGACTTCTACGCCCTAGAGAAATATTCCACCTGGCAGCTTGAAAAGGGGTGGCATGAAAGAAGAACTAAATCCCAACTTTTTGACTCAAGGTGTTTTGTGCTTGAAGGGATCCTTCCTTACTCTCTCTGGCTGCAGAAGCACCCCAAACTGAATGCAGTTATGTTGGAAATAAGCTGCAGGATTTAGGGTACTGATTCAAGGAAAGCTTTTCCCTGACAGCTTTTTAAATCCAGGTAGTGCATCTTCAAAAGTAAGGTGGAGAAAAGAAAACCGAACTTATGCTTGCATGGATAGAGCAGCTTTACTCACCACCCCCTGGCACGGAGAGGCATAGCAGAGATCTCTATAGCACCAAAGCCAGGACAGACAAAATAGCATGGAATTTTCTCCATGACAAAGATTTTGCAGAAAAAAATCTCAATATTCAACCCAATTTTCACACACTTCTTGGAATAATAAACAAATCTTAACATTGAATGGTGTTCGTAACTGAAGTAATATCATCCTCCCAGAAATGCTTAAGTTTAAAAGCAATGTCTCGTTTCCAATTATCTGAATCCATCATTTCCTTTGTTATAACAGATGTTTTTTTAATGGACAAGTTCTTAAATTATGTAGCAGAATTCAGGGATATTTTAAAGCAACTGATGCTCATCCTGCCTTTTTACCTTCCAGAAGGATTTCCATGTTTTCATTTTGGATTTCAAGGGAATCCAGCTGCTTAATCTCTTCTTACCTCCTAGGAAGATTTCCTTCCAAGGAGATAACCTACAGTGCTCCTAATTAGCTCTGCAAATGGCCTTTTTCTCAAAGTGACATGGAAATTTTCTGCTTGTACTCTGAAGCATGGACAAGAAAACCTGAGATCCTAAAATCTCTTGAAGTAATTTTACATGGAAACTTTCTAATTAATAATTTTATCTTTACGACATTTATCCCATCTTTACTTCTATAATTTCCTTTTTATTTTTCTCATTATTTAAGGAAAGATTCACACAACCACACCAGACTGAGATATTTCAGATACACTAGGGTATCTCGCCTGATTTCTGGGTGCTGCTCAGAAAGGGTGTGGATCTCATCTAAATTCTGCGTTAGACCTACCAGCCCTGTGCTGATGTCCTGGACACCCTAAGGTATCTAAAAAGGCACTAGGCACCTCTGTTTAGGGAAATGGGTCTTAGAAAGAAACAATAATATAAATACGTCCAGTCAGAGAAAACCAATTACAATCCCATTTATGCTTCTGTTAAAATTTGAAATGATTGTTCGGAAGTACTTCCACAGAGAAAGTCAAAAGTATTGACCAAACACAGATGGGGCTGATAGCTCATTTAATTTCTGAGCTTTTCCTGAAAAAAAAAAAAAAAGAGACTTTTAAAATTTTTCTTGTAAGTCTTCAGCTACTCTATGCAGTAATTTCCTGTGCCATGTTCAAACTATTTAATGAAGACTAATTTGATAGTATATTCTTTTCCTCGTGGTTCCACTTGCATTTGTAAGGGAAGAGTAAAACATTATCTTGTTAAACAGATTACGGTGCTACGGAATATATATAACTAAGAGAAAACTATATCTGTTTTGGATGTCAACCTGTTTTCTTTCTTGGTGTTCAGAGGTAAATTAAGAAAATAAAGCATTTTTCACTTTTAAGTTTGATGTTACCTCTACATATCAGATCAGCTCTCTGTGAAAGTTGGAAGTTGGAGCTGGTTTTACAATTACTCTTTAAAAAATGTTATTCTAGCGATAGTAGAATATACGAAGCAGTGAATTTCTGTATTGACAAGCCCTGGCCAAAATCAACAAAAGAAAAGAAAAAGCTTAAAAAAACCCTCTGCAAAATGTTTATGAATTCTAATCCTCAGCACATGAATAAATACATCTGACAAAATGCAGAATACCTTAGAAAGGCCTTTCCCAACCTTTTTAATTTCAGTTCAATTACATGTGTAGTGTTTAGAAACTGAATTTCATCTTGCCAATATTATTAAACTAGGGTTGCACTACATACCATTATTTGTAAAAGTGAAGGGCAGATAATAAGTTATAATTATCCTATTAATCACCTGTGAATAATTACATTGAAGGAAGAATGCATCCTCAAATCATAATAATAGGTTGTTTGAAGAAAAACATTTTTTCTGTGCTTGGCAGGAACACGCTTGGACCTTGCTGTGCAAGTTCCTGAATATTATGCTGAAATCAAGCAGAGTATATGCTATGGGCCATGTGGTGTGGATAGCCATAAATCTATAGATGTCAACAGACGTGCTGATTTCTAACTGCTAACTAGGTATCAGACTTCCTCATTAGTGTCTGCTCCTCGGCAACACCTTTAATTTATTCTTTTAAGCAAACATCAGTTTCTTATGGTAGTGTTGGTAACAACACCCTCTCTGGAGTATTTTTCTCTTCTTAGCAGCCACAGCAAATTTTCTCTTGGAAATTCTGCTGCACAAGACCATTTAATGCATGTCCCTATAGACAAAGCTGTGAGTAAGAGCACATAAAAATAATGCTTATTGCACGAGATGTTTCAAGTTATTAATGATTATGTTATTTTACAAGGGAATTAAAAATGGCTGCATCATTGTGTCCATCTTCATCAGTTATTGAAATTTTTGTCTCTTCTGAGAGTTGCTTTGTCATACGTTGCAAACAGGTAAACTCACAATTTATCTAATTTCCTGGTCACTAGTTCCTCTAGAATAGAATGGAAGAAAGTCTCTATCACAGTACACTTATCCCATTCCTTTTTTTCACAATAGGTATTTTTTTCTCCTATAATGGCTAGTCAGTGACAGCAGAAACAGTAGCTGGGTGTGATATAGTGTTAAAACAAGTCAGTTTTCATAAATGGATAGTACCACCAAATGGTCATAACTGGACAGAGAGACCCAGGCACCTACACATTTTATCACCAGCACTGTACCATTTGCATTAGTCCCACAAGGGTGCAAATTTTGGAGAATGGGTTTAGAAGGGCTGTGAAAAGCAAATGATGCCATAAAATACTACCACAGGGAAGGTGAGAACAGAGAATATCAGGGAGAGCGCCCTGGTACGTCTGCATTCACTAAGGCCATCAAGTGCCTCAAGCTAAGTTTTGTAATCCATATTTCAACACCTAAACAAAAGGACCAACACTGAGCTAAGCTTCTTTTCCAACAGTGCATGTCACCCCACTGGAAAACTCTCCTTATGGGACTTGTCAAAGGTGTTAGTAGATAAAACCCAGTGAAAGCCTCTTTTTTTTTTTTTTTTGGTGGACATGTCTACTTCCTTATATTTCTGAGAATGTTTTTGAAAAAATATCACTTTATTCATTGCATGTATAACATGAAAAATAATAAGCTTAAAAGCATTTTCCTCAATGGGACACAAAGATAAAGGCAAAGATTCAAACGAACATATAGAAAATCCTTCCACCATAAAATCAATATCCACTAGACACATTACATCACATTATACATAGAGATATCAGTTCTTGAAGTGGAATGGAACTGGCAGACCAGTTTGCAGTTTGGCACTAATACATTTGGTTGGTGAGATTATACAGCTATTACCACTTCTCTTGGGGAAAAAGAAAAGTAACACACTGCACTTTAAACAAGAACTTTCAAAATGCACAATTTATGGTAAAGGCTTTTGTCCTTTCATAAATTGCTTTGGCTGCACCTGCAGAACAATTTTCGCTAATTTGAATGCTTACCTTGTGTTTGTGTACACAAATACCAAGTACTTGATAGTTTTTAAATAATAGATACAGTGGACACTCTGTTTAAATTACATAGAGATAAAACTTAATTTATAACATTAAAAACCCCCAGTTTTGAAGTCTTGGGCACATTTTTGCTAATGTTATTCAATTTCAAAAGCCTCTGAAATAAGTTCTTTCACCTGCTAGCTGAAGTGTTAAAATATTGCAGATAATGTTCCTTTGCAATATCCAGTTCCTAAGATTATCAGAAATCTTGCAAAAGCCATTTTTATCCATGGCAGTTGGCTGGAAGGTCCAGTCATGATAGATGATACACACATCAATGACTACCAATGATGTCAAGCCTGGTATTCAGCACAACATCTCCAAAAGCAATTTTGAGGTATTAAATCTTACCCAGAACTGGAAATAATTTAGGCAAACACTAAAGGATTTATACAGTCATCTCATTTAGAGGTATTTATCCAAACCACCTCATCTGAGGTCTGCTTATTTCTAAGACAAGTTCAAATTGCATGGTTTTTAAAACAAATGAAAAAAAGGACTGATGCCATTGTTACTGAAAGAAAATCAAATATAGGAATCTCAGCAAACTTGGATCATTCTCTCCACCTTCTACACTTTATGTTTTACCTCATTTCCTAAAAGGGCGTTTATACAGGCTTCAGATGCATCACAGATGGCAGTAAGGTCGTGTCCTCCCTCCAGTGCCAGCACAACGCGGCCATCCGCTAGCTTCAGCAATTGCTTGGTTAGGTGACCAAAACCTAGTATCCAAATACAAGTAGCACAAATAATTAAAGCAGAACAGACATCACTGGCATATTTCACATCTGTTGCACGAGAATGTAGAAAGCTCACAGATATTGCACAGGGAGCGTGAGATATATTTAGTCCAGTATCCTGTTTGTGGCCCACACTAGATGCTTTGAAGTTAGGTACATGGAATTTTGTATGAGGCAGATGTGAGATGATGTCCCTCGCTGATCCCTAGTAGCTGGAGATTAGTTGAAACATGAGGTTGTTTCTCTTCTTACCATTGTTAACTATAATCACCCTGGATTCTCTTCATATTTGCACATCAGTGTAATGCATCCATGTTATTTGCAGAGATGTGACAAAACCATGGTCACTTACAGCATCAATATCACAAAATTAAATTATGATTCTATAATTAAAAATAATTTCATTTTTTCAAATGAGATGATGAAATGTTCATTTATAAATTGCTCCTTTCTTTGCATTTGGGATTGGAGTGTAACATACAACCATGGACGGAAAAATAGTGGAAATATATGTCACCTCTTAGCTCCATTTTGAAGTGTTTTTGGAAGCAGCACTAAAAACTAGATCACTTATTTTGATTCAGGGTTTCGGTATAAGTTGAAACTGTCCAGAATTTCACAGATATCTCTACCTATATCACTCACTCCCAACCAGCAATGTTCTAAGCAATTGCGCACCACAACCAAAAATGATGGTACTTCATTTCACGTGGTGATCTAAAACTACATAAACACCGTCACTTTTTCATCTGTGATTCAAGTAAAATTATTTCATTTTTAATGACAAGAAAAAATTTCATGAAAAAATATTAATTTGGAGAGAAGACTCAGGAGAGATGTTTTGTAGTAGTTTTCTAGGACAGCTATTGTTTTTGATTAATCTCTTTTAAGTGAGTAAGGATAAGTAGAGCCTCAAAACTATTGAAATACTCATCATATTTTGCTCTTGGCTTTTCCACGTGGTCACTCCTAGTTGCTCTACTGGTGGTCATCACTAGTCATTCCAGTGCACTTCATAGACTTAAATAAATCATTTAGAAGTACCTGCTAAAGCCCAGGGCTCTACAAAGACAGGAAAATCAACATCTTTTTACTATGATCCAGTGAAGAAGATCATAAAAAATTAAAAATTACAAAATGCATATTTGCTTGAGAAGTTTTCCAAGACACAGACTTAAGGCTTGGTCTGTCAAACAAGCAATGTCACAATTAGTTCTGTTTACATTTTAGGACTCTGTTAAGCACATGCCCAACTGTTTTTTAGAACAGGGACTTCAGTGATGTCCAGGTTGGTTTAGCTGTGCAGACGAAAAAATAAAAAAAAAAGCGTCTGTACTTGTCACCTAATCTATAGATGATCACAGAATGCTTGAGGTGAAATAGTGTTTCTTTAAGCCACTCCACAATCTTCTGTACCCTCCAAGAACTGCAGTTTTGAGTCTAGCAAAATTACTACACTGTGGTTCAAATTACGTACAGGGTTGAAAAACAAATAAAACCTTAAACTCTCATTTAAGCTCAACTCTACAAAAGACCAAATTTAGACAGGATAATAAAAGCAAAGGAAAGGGTGGAATGACAACAACCTTTGATCTTTAGCCAATTTCTACTTTGTTTTACCTACCCAATTTATTTCTGTCTGCATGTTACCCATCTGATCTTCACTTTCATAAGAGAGTGCCAACAGCATAAAGTGAGTTGTGCACACAGCATTTAAAAGAAATGAAGAAGAATGAACAGGCTCAGACTCCCCGCATCTACAACTCACCCTTTGGGTCTATGAGAAATCCAAAAGCTCTTTTAAGGCAACATTACCCTTCATGTTATACAGCTTCTGTGTAGAAGGGAAAGCTCTACAGTGTTTCCCTTGTACATTTTGAAAATTTTGTATGACCTCAAATATTACTACTGCCACAGCGTAATTTTCAAAATTATGTGTGGCAATAAATGCAAAGACTCTTTCAATTCCTTTTTCTTCTTTTAGGCAACAATACACAGTATAACTTGTAGACATTGTTACAGCGTTAGTTTGTCTGCTGGGTTTACTAATGGTTTTCCTAGTATCAGTGTTATAATAATCATCTCTGTCTGAGTCAGGATGCAATGAGCCATACAGAAAGCATCTTTCCCAACAGAGATCACGGTAACAAGACAAAATGTTGCCAAACCAAATCAGCATGATGGGGGCTTTTCTTCAGCGTAATTATCCCAAGAAACTAAAGGTGACTTGCTAGAGAGGGAGGAAATAACTTTAGCCAACAGTACCAACATTGCCAATGACCGAATGAGCTATGGAAATTCTTAATAGAGAAACTTGGATCCTGTGTCACTGCAGCAACCTAGGAAAGATTAGCTTCCTCAAGGAAATCCCCTGGAGTGCAGAAGGAACAAAATGGAAAGAAAGGAATCCCAGTCAAGTAATGGTTTTAAGATGGGCTGTAGTTCATGCCAAATAATTAAGAAAAATCAGAAGAAAATAGTAACAAGCAGCATGAAAAGAATCAGTCATTTCTTCTGATATAAGGAGACCAAGTACGTATTTGACACCCCACTGACCATCTCTAAGGTAAGAAAGGAATCAGACAAGCAGTTTTCATCCTGGATCTTCCAACTCATGTGAATTCCTAGAGATTAGCAACAGCTCTTGGCCCTTCTACTGTGACTGCCGAAAAAGATGCCAGCTGTGATGCTGGCTTTAAAATGTAATTCCAGTTTGGATTCGCCATATTCTAACACCGTATGCTTTCGCAGTGGTGCATAACAATTATAGATCGGTGGTATTTAGAGTGTGGTGCTGATAACACCAAGGTAGCGGGTACGATCCCCATTCGGTCCCCATATGCTGCCAGTTCTAGTTGAGAGATGTCCCTGCCCATGACAGGGAGGTAGGATTAGATGATCTCTAAGGTCCCTTCCAGCCTAGGCCATTCTATGATTCTATGATTCTATTTTATAGAAGTTCAGTTATAAAATGTGAAGTCATGTTAAAACTCCAGTGTTTGATATTCAGTCGAGCCTCTAATGAGCACTGCTTCTTTGAGCCTGCAGGTAACTTTGTGCCATTTAGAGACTGAGTGCCTGACCCAATGACAGGCATCTATTAATCACAGCTCAGAATGGCCCTTGCCCTATTTACAATTAGGTGCATCCAGAAACACGAGTAAAAATGCTGGGTATTAATAATAAAAAAGGGAAAAAACCATTAAATTAAATAATTTCAGTCAATAAGTGAGAGAAGATTATACATACAGCAGAATTTCTCAAATCTTCTTGTAAACATGCTCAGAGAAGTAGCAGCATTTTTTAGAATCAGGCTCATACAGTGTGCCAGGAAATTGTGAGCATGGTTTTGTGCCAACTATTATTTTCATAATTTCTGCAATTTAAATGTTAAAAGTACCTGTTTCCTTCACAGACCCAGTATTTAGATTTCCAGGGTAGAATTTGCAAAAGCACTTAATTGTAATTTGCTACGATCCTATTAAAGACAATGATAAACCTTCAATTTTCGTAAAAAAAATCAACATTAAAACACTGCTTAGTAGTTCTGAAAATCCTACTCAAGAATTGGTTTACATTTTCCTGACCAAAAAAACCCAACAAAAAACTATGGGTACACTATTGTGCATTTAAGCAAAAAAAATAGATTAAAACTGAAACAGTTACAAACCATGGTATGCACTGGAGAAATATGCAATATAAGAGCTGCTATTTGCCAGCCTTTGAAGTGAAAATATAAACTTTTAAAACAAAAAACATAACATGTACTTTTTAATTATATCATTTCCCCTCCTCCAATGCTATTAGTGGAGGAGACAAAATATTCAGCCTTATGTAAGAAAATATTCTGTTGTGGGAAGGCAGAGAGAAAATTAATAGTATATTATATTAATGAGCAAGCTGCAAGGCTATTATTGAAGGACACAGTGTGCTGATCACTTGGATTACCATCTAAGCAAGTAATTCAGACCTTTAGTAGACTAATGTCTCCTTAAGGGCCATGTTTTTTTTTTATTATTATTATTCTTTTGTAACAGACAAGCTCCCCACGAAAAAAAAACTCTTTCCAGTTCTGCAAGACAGCAAGGAATGACATAGGTGTGGCTTCTGCCTCATTTGACCAAAGTTGTTTGAGCAACTGGACTTACTGAAAACCAAGAAAAAAGCATTAAACCCTATAAAAAATTAATCCAGGGTTATTTCAGTTTTCTGTTTTTGTTGTTGAGGTATTCTTACTCTGATAACCTGAAGTGGAAAGTGCCAGAGAGCCTCTGAAACGGGCCAGCTCCCTTCCGATGGACTCGTCACACAAGTGTGCTGTGTATTATGGCTAGACAAAGTAAAGCTAACGAGTCCAAATTTGTATATTCAGCCTCCCGCTTTGAGAATGAAACATTTCAGAATGAAGACAACTTGTGAATGTTATTCCTTCCACATCCCTTCCTCAGCAGACAGGGAAAGGAACCATATGGATGGGGTACACTCCCAGCCAGCACCGCAGCACTCCTTGTTTGCATAAACAGTCATATATGCAACTCAGTTTGCTTGCCAGCAAATGTGCAAACACTCGGTTAGTGGGGACTAAACCTGCCCCAGCAGAAGACAGACTCCTTCCCTCTCCCCCACTGTGCATAAGGGGAGCAGATGTCTCCCTCACAGTCATGTTTTGGGTGACAGCAGGCTGAGCAAAGCCGAGGTGCTGGCCCTTGCTCGGGGGAGGCGGCTGGTGGAGGAACAAGGGCACGTCAACAGCCAAAAGGTTGGCGAAGCTTTGGAGTTGTGGAGAAAGCTTCAGCTTTCTTAGCCTCAGCAGTGGGGCCCCAACAGCTCTTTCGGCTTCAGCGTCTTAAAAGCTACAATCTGACCCGAAATTACAGGCAGAGTTCTGGTGAGTTCCTCTGGCTGCTTGGAGCAGCCTGGAGAGGAATACACGCAAAACACAAAAACTTCACAGTCTCTGTCCTGGACCTCCAAGCATGTAT